TGTTTGCAACTTTCAAATGATTCAGAAAAAAAATGTAGATACATATCTGCATATGTGTGTGTGCGTGTGTGCATGCGAATGTGTGTGTGTTGAGATAGAGTGAAAGGAATAAGAGAGAAGGGAAGGAGAACAGGAACGAGAAAGCAAACAGGGCACAATACTAACTAGTAAATCTGGGTAAAGGGGAAAATTCAAGTTCTTTGTAATATATGTGAAATTATCCTATACATTTGAAATTATTTCCAAATAAATAAATGAATAAAAGGGTTGGGCTAAAATTTGTGTAAGTTCCCTTATCCTAAAGCATTATGATTTGAAGAAGAGTGATCGTTGGACCTGTCCTTTATACATTTATGAACAGCAGAAGAGCCGAGCAGGTGGGGTCCAGGAAGGTGCTCCTGTGAGGGCACACTGTTGAATGAGACATTGAACAAACACAGGCAATGAAATTCATTGTCTCCTTTGAAAGACGTGTAACTGGAAAGTCTAGTTCTGAGATACACATCTGCAGTGGTGGCTCAAGGGAGTGGTCCCAGCTTCAACAGAGTCACTCTCACGAGTGACTTCCACTCCTCTGGTGGCTGTGCCAAGGGCACTGCACAGTCCCATAAGGGCATGGAAGCCCACCATGGCACCATTGCACCCATGCTCTGCCCTTGACTTATTCAGAACCCAGGCTCCAGGCCTTATGAGGATGAAAGGTCCTTTGTGTCCCTACTCTTGTTCCTCTCTGATGAGTGCCAGCTAAGAGTACTGCTTGTATGCTTCTAGGTTTGTCTTGTCTTTTATTAAAACTGCTCTCCTTTGATAGCCATTCCAAATAGTTACATGGTCACATCACCCACAGAATTCCTTCTCACCTGAGGCTTCCCAGGGTACTGTTTTTCTATGCCAGTGAGAGTCAAATTATCGAAAGTGAAATCCAATGAACCAGTGGTGGGGAATATAAAGTTACCACCAACATATATACCCTTGGAGGTAAGGAAGTTCCTTATTTGAATATTATTCACAGTTGGACATTTTTTTTGAACATCCAAAACACAGGTCAGTATTAATAATCTTCAAGTACATAGGTAAGGTGGTTGATACAAAGATCTCTTCTACTGCCCTTATGCACTCCTTCTGCAGGGTAGGCACTATGTCTCATTCATCTGGTGTATTCCTCACAACATCTGGCTGCAGTGAGTTCAAGAAATGAAGCAGTGAACCAGCACCACCACCTGTAAGCTTCAGTTGAGACAGAGTGCTCCTTTCTTTCAGCCGATCAGCCTGCACTAAATTGTTAACTGTCCTTGTTGCTTATGGAGGAAATTGTGAAGGGTCAGGGGAGGTGTCTACCTGTCTACCTGAGCTCGGAAGGTCTTTAGTCTAGTGATTTCCTGGAAGTAATATTCAAATAGATACATCCAATAACTCAAAAGAATAGAAGTCATTATTTTAAAAACAACAGTTGGGAATACTGTGTAAAACATATATATATAAGCCCTGAGATTTAAATGCTTTTGGATAAAAATGCAAACAAATTAGGTAACTAGGCAAGTAGATGAAAGTAATTTGGACAAGGCCAATTGGAATTCCTGCCTGATGTTGAGAGAAACGGTGTTATAAAAAACAAAACAAAACATGCAATTGCCACTTGCTGACACTGATTGAGAATTGGCTAAATAAGATTCCTGAAAAAAGCAGAAGGAGAGAAGAGGGGACACAGTTGTATCAACACAAAAGAAACTCATCAGAGAAAAGCAAATATGCTTGAGACTTGGGAAAATGAAAGGAATGCAAAAGAAAGGGAAAGGCCAGAGTAATGTACTGGTTCTGATTCCTTCTCTCAAAGTTTCCAGATAAATTTCAGATGGGTCATTGTTCTCCCTACTCGACCCTTCATCTTACCACAAAATGCTCAACAAAAGCAGTTGTGAGGATGACTAGCTGCCTCCCTGGCACCTCAAAAATGTCTGAATCTTGAAATAGGTCTATCATCTGCATATTGTTTGGTCCGTAGTAAATTCTCCCTAAAACTGAACTAACAAAATATCCTTGAAAAATGAATCTATGCTTTCTCATTTTAGACAGATGGTTGGAGCCAGGCTAACGAGGAACTGACTTTTCCTCTATGACACCACGAGATGACTGTGTAACAGTCAAGCAGATGGGAACACTATTTAAGCCAGGGTAATACACTGCAACGGATTCTTTCAAAAACCATGAAGAATCAATCTCTCAAACTTCCAATAGCTTGGTGAGACTTTCCTCAACCTTCCAAACAATGAAGACTAGTCAACGTCAGCGCAGAAAAATTTTTACCAGCAAAAAAAATTTTTACAGTCAAGTCTGTTAATACTGGTTTATTTGCAATCCAACTCCCCGAGGACAGCAAACAGTGGTATTGGCTGCCCTCTGCAGTGGGCTGGTGAATTCAGTGAAGTATCAAGATCAAGAAAGTGCCAAATGCATGCAACTCATTCTTCTTGAAATCCAGAAATGCTGGCAAGAGAATGCCTTCTTAAATCTAGGATTTTTAGAGCCGAGGGTGTGTGGGAAAGTAACACATCACCCCCACAATCACTCAACCCCAACGATGTTTGGTTGCTTTCTGGGCAAGAGTAAGCTTGCTTGTTGATTTAAGACATCATGGGAATGTCTGAGGTTAACAGCCTCCATTGCTAAATCAAAAGCCAACCACAGCAGCAAAACTGTGAAGCTTCTCAGAGAGCTCCCTGGACTGAGAGCTTCCATGGTGTATGTTTTTAAAATCTGCCCATGAATTCTTTGAAACTACTCCTGTGGAGAAATGGAGTCTAATTTTGCTTCCCTCAACTATGAGCTAGCCTTAGTCACCTGGATCCAATGAAGAAAATGAGGTTGGAAGTGGCATGATGTGACTTCTGCAGGTGAGTTATAAAAGGAGACATAGCATCTGCCTAGCTCTCTTATGAGCTGCTCACCCTTGCAATCCAGCTGCCATACTATGGGGAGGTGAGGCCACATGTAGGTATTCCAGCTGACAGGCCCAGCTAAGGACTCAACCAACAATCAGCATCAAGTAGTTGATTTTATATGTGGAGTGAGGAAGTATTCAAGAATATTTCAACTCTGGCCACATCTGACTAACCACATCAGAGACCCTATGTGAAAACCATCATCTTGCTGAGACCAGTCAACTCCCACAACCATAAGCCATAATAATAATAATCAATAAATGTTGTTGTTTTAAGAGAGAGGTCTGCAAAAAGGCCTGGTGATAAAATCTGGCCTGCAATCAGTTTTTCTACAGCCTGGGAACTCAGCTGGGTTTGGTACATTTTTAAAGGGTTGTAAAAGAAACAAAACAAAGAAAAGAATAATAGGTGACACAGACCATATGTAGCCCTTAAAGCTGAAAATAGCTATTCTATAGCTCTTTATTAAAAAAAAATCTTTGTTCAACACTATCTTAAGCCATTAAGTTTTCAGATGGTTTATAATGTAGCAACAGATAATCAGAACACACAGTGCTTTTGGAATATAAGAGGCTGTCAATTGGCAAATGCTGGATTCATAGCATCATAAAAGTCACACTGAAAAACCACAACTCAACTATTACCTGAATGTCAGTACTTATTCTATCAATAATTACTATTACATTTTCATAAACAAATTTGCTCAAACAAAGCAAAAGTGGGGATAATGTGATTCATCAACCAAGGAGAGTATTTTAACCGTGTCTCAGATTTGATTCTAGATTAAACTTCAAATTCTTGGAGACTTATTAATAACTTTAATAAATGTAGCTGGCATTTGCTGAGTCCTTACTCTGTTCCAGACACTCTTCTAAATTATTTCCTATGTATTGCTTCATTTAAGCCTTGTGACAACAATTATTTTCATTTTACAGATGAGGAAACTGAGACACAGGGCAATGATCCAGCATGTCCAAGATTATACAGGTAGTTAAGTCTAGTGTCAGGATTTGATCTAGGCTTGACTTGCATCCATGAACTTAATCATTACACTCTGCTGCTCCTCTCCAGTAAATGTCTAAAGAAGACATTGGTCTTGGTTGAAAGATGTAGCTGGCTTCCATCGGAAGGGCAGCATCCACTGACTTCTCTGATCAAATTTCCCTGGGGGCATAGTCAAGGGTGCCGTCTACTCACTAGGAGTCAGGTCTGGAAACTGGGTCTTTATCTTTTTCCCCTGAGACTCAGGATCTTTAGCAATACCAACACTACTTTTCTATTGAGAGGATCTGAAACTCTTAGACCAGCCCCAGATAATGGTTCGTTATAAGTTCTTTCTTCCAAAAAACCAAAGATTTCCTCACACTTCATCCAGTTAATCAACACATGGAAAAATTATGTTTGCCAAAGGGATGACTGTCAGAGGAGACAAAATATAGGTTCTTCATTGCCAGCCCTTGGCTAAATGAAATCAACAGGCTGATTAAGAGCCAACCAATATTAAAAGGATATCCAGACCATCATCTAGATGCATGACGATGGAAAATGAAATCAGTATCAGTTTCCTCATCTGTGAAGGAGGAATGATAACACCTATATTTGTGATTAGTTGTTATAGACTGGAGCCAAGATATACAAAGATATACAATCCAGTGTCTGGCATTCAATTAATGGTGGCTACAATCACTGTATCTTTAACATAGAACATGCCTTTCTTTCAAAGAGTTGATGATTGGCCAATGACATTTCAATTAATAACTGGAAAAGCTGTTAAACACAAATAAAGATCCACATTCATGAAACAAGACATAGAGTAAGAGTTGTTGCTTACCCACTGGGTTACACATTTTCCATCTCCTTTTATCATAAGCCTTTTCCATATTGGAAGGTTTTATTTAAATTATTCATAAAAATGGCCCTCTCTTGTTATTTTCTCCAATTGAACTTGGCACAAACAACTGCATATCAGTGTAAGAGAGGGCAACTCTCTGACTTCAATGATGTACCAAGGCCCCCTCAGCACAGTGACCAAAGGCATGGCACAGCCCCTTGTCTACTCACCAGAAGGGAAAGATAATGAGGCGGCTGATGAAAAATATGGTAGAGAAGATGAAAAACAGGGTGTTACAGGTTTGCTTCCATCCGGCATAAGAAAACATCTTAGCAGACTAAAAACAAAGAAAGCAATCACATTCAGATTCGGTGATATTAGAATAAACTTCTTAAATTAAATATTTATAAATGAAATTACATGATGTCTGAGATTTGGTTCAAAATGGTTTGTGTGTAGGGGGTGGTAGGGAGGGGTGAATGAAGAAATTGATGAAATGAGACTGGCTATCCTGACAATTATTCAAGCTGGAGGATGGGCCCACTGGGTCTCTTACGCACTTCTCTTTGTCATATGTTTGAAATTTTCCATAATAGAATTTTTAAAAAAGGTATGTTAAAAATGACTATAATGTTACTGCTGTCCTTCACAGCACTGTAAGTTAGCACAAATGAATGTTAGCATGCATTTTATTGGGGCACTTATTTATTTTCTCCACTTAACTGATTAGAGAGCTGGATTGGAGAAAGGTTGAGATATGAGTGAAGTCCTGGGTTGGGCTGGGCAGGTTGCAATCAAGGCAGCTGGCAGAAGGGGCAGAGTGAGGAGGCCACTCATGGGGCCCTGTCCTGGTTGAAATAAAGTTTCAAGCACTCGATTTTTCCCCATTTACTTTATGCTAATCTACACTGCCCATATAATCTGTATTGAATAAAAGGAATTAAGAAAGTGTTTAATGTGGTATTAGATGGTTAATTGCTGAGAATTCTCTCTTGCATTATCTAGTGGAGCCCAAGACTGAGTGGGAAAGTGTCTGAACTTAGGGGTGGTGGGAGGCGAGTAGGAATTGCTGAGTGTAACTCATCCTTCCAGAAGCATGGCTCAGAACTGGGTGGTTTCAGGACTAAAATTGGTCCAGAAGCTCAAAGCCACTCTAAAACAAGAGAGGCAGCATATTTACACTTCAGGAAGGGTTTACATTGCATCTTCCATACTTTGCCACATTTACCATGGGATAAGAATATGATCAGATTGTGGAGTGGCAGGGGGCCAGAAAGAAACAGCCTCAAATGCTGCCAAGTGGGTGGGAGATGGGTATGGGGAGACAGGCCAGAAGTTCAGCATGACTGGAATGGAGTGGGAGTTGAGAGTCAGAGGCCAGGCGAGTGTGTTTAGCTAGAGATGAGCATAGGCAGGAAGAGAGTGTGCACTCTCTTGTGAGGGCAAAGTAGCATTGCTTGGTGTGAATACACACAGAGCAGATTCTGGGCTGTGCAAGGATGGATATCAGTCACCCTGCTCCTTTGCTAAGCATGAGTCAGGATACTGTTTGAGTGTTGGGTCCTACACCCAAACTTGAACATGTGGAAAACTAGAGGATCAGGAAGATGCATGAACAGTGAGAATGGGGAAAATTAACAAGGCAGGAAACCACAAATGTTGGAGAGGATGTGGAGAAAAGGGAACCCTCTTACACTGTTGGTGGGAATGTGAACTGGTGCAGCCACTCTGGAAAACTGTGTGGAGGTTCCTCAAAGAGTTAAAAATAGACCTGCCCTACGACCCAGCAATTGCACTGCTGGGGATTTACCCCAAAGATACAGATGCAGTGAAACGCCGGGACACCTGCACCCCAATGTTTATAGCAGCAATGTCCACAATAGCCAAACTGTGGAAGGAGCCTCGGTGTCCATCGAAAGATGAATGGATAAAGAAGATGTGGTTTATGTCTACAATGGAATATTACTCAGCCATTAGAAATGACAAATACCCACCATTTGCTTCAACGTGGATGGAACTGGAGGGTATTATGCTGAGTGAAATAAGTCAGTCGGAGAAGGACAAACATTATATGTTCTCATTCATTTGGGGAATATAAATAATAGTAAAAGGGAATAGAAGGGAAGGGAGAAGAAATGTGTGGGAAATATCAGAAAGGGAGACAGAACATGAAGACTCCTAACTCTGGGAAATGAACTAGGGGTGGTGGAAGGGGAGGAGGGGGGAGGGTGGGGTGAATGGGTGACGGGCACTGAGGGGGGGCACTTGACGGGATGAGCACTGGGTGTTATTCTCTATGTTGGCAAATTGAACACAAATAAAAAATAAATTTATTATTTAAAAAAAAAGGGAAGATGCATGAAGAAGGCAGAGTTTCCTTCCCAGTAAAAGTTGTGGATATTGAGCCTGTTTTTCTTTGCAAATAAAAAGCTAAAATATGACCCAGCAACTGTCTTGAGGAATATGAAAGATTAATAGTCACCATCTTTAGGAGGGTCTGAACAGAGGCAAAAGTTGTGCCATGTGTGGGTTCAATGAGAACTTGCCCAAGAAGACAATCACTAAAACCAACTACTCGAGGAATCTGTGGAATAGGCACCCCTGGAGGATATCAGACATAGTCCCTGGGCCACCACATAATGTTGCTTTTTCCAAGTTGGTGGAAGGTACTGGCGTTGCTCACTGAACCTCAGGTTAGATCATGGCTTGTGAATCAGGAATGATTCACGATCATTAACAACACAAGGTTGTTCTTATAGTGTGTCCATGAAGGGACCTCTGAGTCTGGCATTTCATTTCCCTCCTGTTTTTTTTTTTTGTTTGTTTGTTTTGTTTTTCACCTAAAAAGCTCAGAACATTTTCAATCAAACAGTAATGAGCTAAACTTCACAAAATAGCCAAAGGGGTACATAGGACTTCTCATATTTCAGCTGAGGACAGAAAAGAAAGCATTAAGTGATTTGTCCACGTCACCTAGGGAACTGGAATGTGTCAATGATAGGGTGGGAGAAGAGTGGGGAGGGACGACCCAGTGCTTATCCCAGTCCCCACATCTAACTCCCTTTTAACAACACAACAAAGCTGTTTTTATAGTGGACACACACCGAAGGCTAGAGGGGTTAGAAGCCACAGAGTAGCATAAAATTCTTAAGTCATGGCCAATGCAGTCTTAATTTACAGGCAGGATTACTGAGAAATGATCAGAGGAGGAGGTAATTATAATAGATATGGCTACATTCAGACAGCAACACATGGGAAAACTGGCACAATCCTTCTTTTGCTAAACCATTTGCTGCCTGAATAATCCTAACCTTTAGAATGGGATTTACATGTCTAATTGCAATTACACAGAATAAACAAAATTCTCTACACATCTCTACTGATATTTTAACAGTAGCCAGTTGCTTTGAAATGCCTTCAAATGACTTATGGTTACATCTAGAACAGGGTTTATCAAACTACAGTCCAGTCTATGGGCTAAAGCTAGTTACCCCTTAAGGATGGGTTTCACATTTTTAAAGCGGCATGAGAATAGAAAAAAAAAAACAATCAGAGAGAGGAATATATGGCAAGAGATCCTATGTTGCTCACAAAGCTAGATTTACTATCTGGCCCTTCACCCAAAAGTTTGGTGAACCCTGATCTAGAAGAACAAGAGTCTATCAAAGTTAATTTCTTCCATATCAACTTATATTCAACTATAAGGATTGCCTTCAAGAGGCAATCCTGAACATGAAATGGATTAGCATCATTTTCTTCAACTTCTTTATGAATGGAGGTGTTTCAAGTACAAACTAATGGGTTCTGGGAAATGTGACCCTAAGTACAGCAGGAGAGCTGGCAGATAAGAGGATTGTTGGATCACTGCCTCATGGCAAACAGGAACCAATACCTAACAGAAACACATAGAGAAAACAATCTTAATTTGGCTTTGTTTCTCATATTTTGGGTGGCTTGGGACTAGGAAGACTCTTGTATTAATGTCCCCTGCTCCAAAGCATTTGTTCCTTAGAAAATAAATGTCATCTAACTAAACATCAGCTCTCCTTCCTTAAAGCTGGAGGAGCATCAGTGTGGGGCAGTACAAGCATCCAGTGGGTATTCGGCTTTGGCTTAAGTAAATATATGGTACCATCCAACATTAAGAATCCATAATGCCACAACTCCATGTTTTCCTTTTAATAGATTTGAGTTCATTATTTCCTCAAATATCTTACTTCCTGAGCTAGTATCTGCATGCAACTTTTGCAGATGGAATCCCATGGGTTAACATCTCTCGAGTACCATGGAGAAGACTGGAAAATAAAAACTAAAAGTTGTCATTTCTCTAAGTTTGAAGGATCTGAGGGCCTAGAGACATTCTCCGACTCTGGGTATTTTTGGGACAGAGAGGCCTTGCTAAATCACTCACTGACAATTCTTTCTGAAAGAAGTCACAGAAACCCAGGACATGGTATTGTTATTATTTTTTTTAATAGCAAACGTTTACCTCCAGCCAAATGTCAGCCACATCATGCACAATCATCACGAGGGTCCCACTGCGAATATAATTAGCACACCAAGAGAAGCTCATCAGACTAATAGCAGCCAGGTGATGGATGACATGAGCTAGAAAATCCTACATAACGAGAGGAAAATGGAAGCTATTAAATAAATGCACTTATTTCTTAATCACTGGAAAAGCTAACAATAATAATAATATTTTTAAAAAACTGGTAACTTACATCTGAATGTTTTGAAATTTGTAAAATGCTTTCACTTTAATTCTAAACACAGTCCTTGCGAGGGAACTAACACATATTATCCTCACTGATGAAGTCACTTAACTTCAAGACAGTATTGAATAGTTGTCATCTAAGTCCTAACATCTGCTCTTCTTTCTACTATCCCACACAGGATATATGTACACATGTGTGCACATGGGCATATACCCCATATACATACCCACCCATTCCTATGTATATTTACATTCTTCCTTTATCCTCCAATTCCAAAAAGGAAAAAAGACACATATACTACATAACCATTAAAATAAGAGTTACTGTATATAAAACAAGTAATGAATGAAAGTGGAATAAGTAGATTATCAACTCTAGGCTAAAGAAAGCTACCACAATCAAGTATAAAAACTTAAAGGTGTTCTGCAAAGAAAATATGCAAATGGCCAACAAGTACATGAAAAGATACTCAGCCTCATTAGTCATCAGGAAAATGTAAATCAAAACCATCATGAGATACCATTTCATCCCCACTAGGATAGATATAATGAAGATGATGAACAATAACAAGTGTTAGTAAGGACATGGAAAAATTGGAATGTTTATATATTACTGGTAGGAATGTAAAATGGTGCAGCTACTTTGGCAGCTGGCCAAAAGGTTAAATATAGAATTATCATATAGCTCAGCAATTAAACGAGAAAAATAAAAATAAGTCCATGTAAAAACTTGTATATGAACGGTCATATAGCATCATTCCTAAGAGAGAAAAAAATACATCCCAAATAGCCATCATATGATAAATAGATAAATAAAATGCAGTATATCCATTGAATGGACAATTACTTAGCAATAAAAAGGAATGAAGTATTGATAAATGCTTTCACATGAATGAACCTTGAAAACATTATATTAAGTGAAAATACCAGACAAAAAACCCTGTATAATATGATTCAATTTATATGAAATATACAGAGGAGGCAAATCCATAAAGATGGAAAGTAGATTAGTGGTTACCTAGGGCAGGGAAGTTAGAAAAAATGGGGAGTGACTGCAAAAAAGGTATAGGATTTCTTTTGGGGGGGCGGTGATAAAAGGTTCCAATATTGACTGTGGTGATGATTGCACAACTCTGTGGATATACTCAAAATCACTGAATTACACACTTTATTTTTAAAGATTATTTATTTGTTTATTCATGAGAGACAGAGAGAGAGAGAGAGAGAGAGAGAGGCGGAGACATAGGCAGAGGGAGAAGCAGGCTCCATGCAGGGAGCCCTATGTGGGACTCATCCTCAGACTCCAGGATCACGTCCTGAGCCAAAGGCAGGCGCTAAACCTGCCTGGGCTGAACTACCCAGGCATCCCAATTACACACTTTAGATGACTAGATTGTACAGTATACAGACACCTCAATAAAGATGTTTAAAAATAACTTAAAGATTTCAGCTTCCTTGCAGCCAAAGTAAGAGCAAACATGATACTACTTAATAGCCTAACTTATTGAGCACTTACTGCATGCCAGGGAGTGCTTTGTATGGGTTAACTTGCTTAATCCTCACAAGAACCAGAGGAGACAGAAACTATTTTTAGCTCCATTTTACAGATGAGGAAATCAAGTTGAGGGAGGTTAGCCAGCTAGCTTGAGATGTTAGTGAGTGGTGAAGCCAGGGATTCAAACCCAGGCATTCCGACTCCAGTGCCTGTGCTTTACCCACCTTCCAATAGTTTTATGTCTCCAAAGATACGTATTTACAAAATATGTGACATATATTTACATTTAATTTTTGCTAGGTTACCCAATGCACCTGTATATAATAAGAGAAACCAACTACTGAAGAATCAGAGGTAGGAGAAAGACAGGATCATTATAGCAGCAACTCACCTTAGTGTATCTATGAAGACCTTCTAAAAAGTGATTATTTTCCATTTTCTCCCTTGAGAAAATGGCTCAAACAATTAAATTTTTATGTATTCTTAGCCCAGACTAAAGTTAATGACAGTTATTACTGAGTTTTATGGAAAAGGATGTTATTTCTACCAGTTTTTTTTTCTTATACTTACATTCTATAAGTTTTCTTTTAAAATCTCCCATTGACTGCAATCGATTCAGCCTCTTAGTGATGAATAGGGTGCACCATCATGTACTCAAACATCACTTCATCAAGACAGCTTGGTCTTATCTCCTTAATATTGAGCCAGCTTGGTCTTCTCTCCTTAATATCTCCTTAATATTCAACTTAACTTTATTTATCACACAAATTTTGTCACTAACTAACTTTTATAGCATATGAGGTATATGCCAAGTTTATTTATCATTTGATCTGTGTTGCTAACATATATAATGAAATCTTGTGATTGCATTGAGAATCTATATATGGTTTTCTGTATCAGCAAACAGTTCTTAAAATGCCTCACTTTAACTCAGAGGATACTCCTCTTAGCATGCCTGTGGCTCAATTTCCCTGCATCTAAAGCAAAGCTAAGTGTGCCTAAAGCAAAGTTTCCTCATAAAGGCCTTGGATGAATTAAGGACAAAATGCATTCAAAATCTTTGAATATTTCAAAGAATTACCTAAGGTTTGTAATCAACTAAAAGATGTGGCTGCAGAATTAAAACTACTAGCACCTGTACTGAAGAACATCAAATGTCCCAAGCTAAAGAAAGAAACAGATCATATAAAGGAGATTTTTCTTCTTACTGCATATAAGTAGAGTTTCCAAGTTAAAGTGTCAATAAGGTTTTATTGCAAATACATATCGAGGCACAAAAGCATGAGCAAGATTTGCACCATTCTGTGTGCTATAAAATGCAAGAAGGCTATGAACTGAAACTAGCCACACATAAAAATACAATTTAAAGATTAGGATTTGGGGTAGGGAGGTGAAGTTTTTTGAAAAAGTAGATAAAGTAGCTTTGTAAATAAGGTACTTACTTTAGGGTGCCTGGGTGGAGGAGTTGGTTAAGCATCTGACTCTTGGTTTCAGACTCTTGGTTTTGGCTCAAGTCATGTTCTCAGGGTCCTGAGACTGAGCCCCACATCTGCCTCTGTGTTCAGTGCAGTCTGCTTAAGATTCTCTCTCCCTCTCCCTCTGCACCCTGCCACACTGCTTGCTCTCTCACCATCTCACTCTCTCTCTCTCTCAAAGAAATAAAATCTTAAAAAAAAAAAAAGATACTTACCTTCCTCTTGACATCAGAGCCAAGGCTAAATATCAGAGACCAATAAAAACTCATCTCCAAAATGTAGTACCAGTACTGGGACGGCAGCAAGGGCTAAGGAAAATAAGAGTATTCATTACTTCAGTATCACCATATAAATGACTCATTTAAAGGTATTAAACTATTGTTTATACCTATTTATGTTCCAAAGAATTCCCCAATATGATGATGATTTAAGATTTCAACTTCTCTGGGGCACCTGGGTGGGACAGTTGGTTAAGTGTCCAATTCTTAGTTTCAGTTCAGGTCATGATTTCAGGGCCCTGATTTCAGGGTCGTAAGATTGATCCCTGTGTCAGGCTCCATGCTTATCACAGAGTACATTTAAGTTCTCCCTCTCCCTCTGCCCCTCCTCTCTCTCTTTCTCTTCCTTCCTCTCTAAAATCAATAAATAAAACTTTAAAAAAAGATTTTAACTTCTGAGAAGGAATCAAAGATAATATTTCAGGGCATTTTATTTTTGAAAGAGTAGACAAGAATTCTGAAGTCAAGTTAAATATTTTGTTTAAAAGTTAATAAAACTACAATAGGTGTAATTGCCTTGTTTTAGTTGACTGAAAGTTAAATTAGGGAAAACAAATTAAAAAATCATTACTTAAGAATATTGGCAAGTCTGTTCTACTCTTCCCACAGTTTACCTTGTTTTATGTTTCTTGAATACTACTAAAAATCTGATGTCTTAACTTCTCTACTGGTGACAGTTAATAATCAGAATTGGCCTATTCTCAAATGGGGCAGTGATAAAATATATTTGATTATGTAAGACTCTAAAAATATCTTCTGAAAAAAAATTTCTAGATCTAGAGTTTTCCTTAATAATTTTATAGTGTGTGCATGGTTGCTCATTTTCCTTAAGAATTTTATAGTATGTATGTTGGGGGGTGGGGAGTGCTTATTTTAGCTAAGTTGAGATATTATATTACTTGGTGTAATGGATTGTTATATCAAGTGTAATGTTGTTGTTACTTGGTAATTGTTACTTGGTGTAATGACATGTTACATCATGCCTCCAGTGAATTTCACCTTCTGATTTCCAAGTACTGGTATAGGCTTCTCCTACATGATCATGGGATTTGGTCAAGACAGCATAAGAAAACAGGATGCAAGTAGATACTTCATAAGCACCAGGTAAGAAACCTGAGCTATCTTGCTGATAAGAACAAAGTAGAGAATCAAGGTGCCCACTGCCAAGAATATGAATGAGGGCACCAGAGACTTAAGCCATTCCCCTAGCCAGCCTAACAATGGACTAAAAATGCATGCATGAACTCACTTAACACCACATGGGGCAGAAAGAACTACTCAGCTGGGCCTAGTCCAATTTGTAAACCCAAATCATGAGCAAATAAATGGTTATTGTGCTAAGGCATTGCATTAGGGATGATTTGTTATGTATCAACAGATAACTGATATACATGAGTAGTTCAGAGTAAGTTGGAGGTAGAAGAATAAGATTGGAGTTTGGCCTACATAATGCCTAAATATCTTATGGTCTAACCGTCTTTGATTCTTTAATACTGAAGCTAACACATTAAAAGGAATAATTTTCTGGTCAACTGATCATCCTCTATAAGGCCATAAAATAATGAGACAGAGTTTTTGCTTTCTTCTATGTCAAACAACTATGTATGAGACTAACTCTCCTAGTGAGAACATCTAAAAAAGGATCTGAGTAAAATGCATAAAAATATCTCTGTGAAAGCATCAAAGAGCAATTAAGGCATCCAGAACCTGTGAAGCTAAGATTTCAAAGAGAAAAATGCATTAAAAATGAATCCTTTATTTCTAGTGAAACCTTAATCCAAGAAGTTCTACGAACTTAAGAGGGATAAATCCAAAGAAAACCACACCTGTGCATAGCATTAGTCAGCATTTGCCAATTTATAAACAGTATGGAGTCCAGAGACTAAGAAGTGGAAGAAGTTAAATAGGATTTTTGGCAATCTCATGGTGCTAGGCTGCAAACTGGTACTCAGGGCTAGCCAAAGAAAAAGAGTCCTGGTAAACACTGTAATCTTTTATTAAAACCACTAGGAAAACACCCTAGGAATATGAGTAAGTTGTAAATACATCTGCCCTAAAAAAGACTAGAATCCACACTGAATCAGCTCAATCACATATAAAATGAAGGTGATCTGTTCCTACTCTAACTAATAGAAGTGAAAGTAAATCTTCTCAAGAGAAAGATAATATTATCCTGAGCAACTATAATTTTTTAAATACAATATCTATTATTCAATCAAAAGTTATCAAGAATAAGGAGACAAGAATAAGACAATAGATGCATAGATGATGAAGACATTGGATTCATCAGAATTGGACTTTAAAATAACTTTAAGTACTTGGTTAAAATGTGGAAAATTTCAGTAGAGAACTGGAATCCATTAAAAAAAGAGCTAAATGAAAATTTGAGAAGTGACAAACATAGTAACTAAAATTTAGAACACAAAAGATGTATTTAACAGCAATTTAGACACTGCTGATAAAGGCACCAACAAACTAGAAGACATGAAAATAGAATATATCCAGATCTGTAAAGGCTCTGAGATTTTACCCCACTTGCAAGAGAGCTTGCCACAGTTTCATGGGTGCTGATTGAAGATATGAGACTCCTGGGTTAGAGATAAAGGATGCTGTATTATTTGCAGTAATAGTAGTTGTCAGAGTATCAATATTTGGGACAGGTTTTCCATCTTTACTCATACAGGGGTAAGCAAAAAGGGTGAGCTGATATCTGCACATTCAATGAGTTGTATTACAAGAGAGGAACTCTGATCTAGGAAACCTGAATCTTTCATAACAGATAGTAATATGCCTACCCTTTGCTACGGAAGGAGACACTTCTATCTTCCAAGGTTGTCTGCTATACAAATATCCTTTAAAAAGATAGTACAGAACAAAAGGCAGGCAGTGCTTCACTTCAAAAGACATGTAAAAATGCAAGAAATCCACGGAGAATTGGGAGATAATTCTAAAGCTCAGAGAAGCAAGAGAATGGAAGATATTAGAAAAAGCATAAGAGACATATGGGGCCTTAGTGTAAATGTCTAGCATATTAGCACATCTATAATTGAAATTCCAGGAAGAGAAGAGAAGAAAGAGAGAAAGAAACAAAAGCAATGGCTGAGAATTTTCTAAAACTGACTGAAGATATCACGCCACAGATTTAAGAAGTTCTATGGCCCTTAGGCAGGATAGATTCAAAGAAAACCACATTTATGAATATCATAATAAAACTTAAAAGACAAAGACAAGATACTTAAATCAGTCAGAGAAAAAAAATATATTCTGTTCAAGGTAGCAAAAATAAGACTGACAACTGAATTCTTAAAGAAAGCAATAGGATCCAGAAGGCAAGGGAATGCCATTTTCAAAGTGCTAAAGGAAAATCATTGATGATCTAGAATTCTATACTCAACAAAAAATATCCTTTAAAAAATGAAAGCAAAGTGGTAACATTTCAGAAAAGCAAACCCCAAAGGACTTCTTCAGCCAGAAGGATAATCATCCCAGATGGAAGCCTGGAAAAGCAAGATACAAGGTAGAAGATGGAGAGGGCAATTTGAATGATTTACAAAACAATAATAGCAATAATTTGTAGGGTTTTAAATATTTGAAGGAGGGGGATGCCTGGGTGACTCAGCAGTTGAGCATCTGCCTTTGGCTCAGGTTATGATCCCAGGGTCCTGGGATCAAGTCCCCCATCAGGCTCTCTGTGGGAAGCCTACTTCTCCCTCTGCCTATGTTTCTGACTCTCTCTCTCTCTGTCTCTCATGAATAAATAAATAAAATCTTTTAAAAAATAAATATTTGAAGGAGGAACTAAGAGGAGAGTATATGAAGAATTCTATGAAGAATTCTAATGACTTTATAGTGAATGGAAAAAAGTAAGAGCACTAATTTTTATTAGACTCCAATAATTCAAAAATACATATGGTAATCCCTAGGATAATTATTAAAAGAACAAAAGGATGACTAAATGAGAAGCTAACATAAAGGAAGACACAGAATAATATGTTTTTAAAAACTTGACTGTCCCACAGAAAAGTAAGAAGAGAGTACAAGGAAATGCATCAGGTATTACAAATAGAAAATAAATAGTAAGACAGTAGGTTTAAACTCAAACATGTAATTGCATTAACTGTAAACAGACTAAAGTGCTAAAGACACAAGTGGTAGGTTAATAGGGAATAAGGATGCATAAGCTCTGGTGGAGAAAGAGCCAAAGGACTGCACAGATATGGACAGAGAGTAGGATTCAGACCCACTCAGGAGACAATTTGAAGGCCCCACAGTGAAGTAAGGGAGGACTGTATCAAAGGGGACTTACCTGCCTGGGGTAGCCATTCCATACCTCCCAGAGGTCATATACCCAAGGTTTCTGAAAAAACAAGGAGCCAAGAGAGAAAAGATGAATTTATTGGAGTCAAAAGCTGGTTTCAACAGAAAACATAAGCTCTTCCTGATGTCACTGATGTGGCCACACACGTACAGTAAGACTGTTGCTCCTGCTATACTGCTCTCTCTCTGTGTGTAGGTATTTATATATGTTCTCATACAACATGCCTGTGATGCTCATGACTTCTAGTGAATCTGGGACCACACATGGTTGAAATTATTCAAACAAGTGAAACTTCTAATGATATGATTCCTGAACCAATCAGACTACTTTTCCTATAGCAATAAAAATATCTTAAGAGAAATCTTGAGAGAGTCTTGAGCAAAATCTCTAAAAGCTGGTTATCCTTTTTATTTCTGTGAACAACTTACTATGAAGTTTATACATCATGTAATGAGGTAATCATTTAGTAATTATTTAAACAGACAATGCAAAGGTAGTATCATAAGGAAAGATTACTGATGAATGAGTCTTGATGGGTCTTGATGGAACAGGTGTCTTGATGGAATCTTGATGGAACAGATGGTATTTCACATGAGACTGGATGGGATTTGGCAGGTGGAGATAGAGGTGGGAAGGGCAGAAAGGAAGACCTTTCTGGCAGGGGGTATAAGGTATGCTAAAATCCAAAAGTGAGGATGTACCAGGTATGTTCAGTGGATTGTCAGTAGTCAGGGTAGTTGGTACATGGGTGTTGTGAGAGGAAATAGGGAGAGACTAGGTTTCAAACCTTTGTTTGCAAATTCAATGCTTAACAAAGTTTTCGAAAGATAGACTGGGGAGTTATGACTTCTTTTAGGCATTAGTGTGATTTTAAAGGCATGAAAGTTGGTTAACTTATTGAGAATATTATTTCATAAGGAATTCACATGCAAAGATTTTTAAAATTAAAGCCAAATTCCAGTCAAAGAATATCAAAGAGACAACTTACATCATAAAGAAATACAATTCCAGCAACAGTAATCATTAAGTAAAATGCAAATCGCCAGCTGCCAAAAGAAAGAAAAATCTTGTAAAGGTGATTGACATCTGAGGAGAAATACATTTGGTATGACAGAGTTTGGAAAGAATGCACAGGAAAATCTAATTTGATATCCTGAGTCTGCCACTTGTTAGATGGCTGTAACTGTAGGGAAGTCACTTAACCTTGGAAAGCCTTAATTTTCTTCATCTATGAAATGGGAATGACAAAACTTACCTCAAAATGTAAAAAGAATTGAAGCTAGTTTGTGAAAAGTATTAATCACAGTGCCTGGTATGAAGCAAGCAAAATAAGTGGGTGCTATTATTACTACTGTTCATGTTATGCCTAGCACACAATAGACAAAGCTCCTGACACACAATAGACAGTGGTTTGACGTTAGTATTAATCAAGTCATTTCTTTTATCCCTATTTAGGTCCCAGTGAAAGGTTTCAAGTGGACAGTTTAGTCTTGTCTCTGAAAAGGAGATTTTGAAAAAAAAAATCTTTTTCCCATGTATGGAGAAAGATCTATAGACTAAGAGACTTAAAAGACATACCAATCAACTGTACTGCATGGGTTTTATTAAGATCTTGATTCAAACAAACAAACTATAAAGAAAATTACAAGTTAATCAAGGAAATATGAACATTGATTGAATATTTACTATTATTAAATTTTTTTTAAAGATTTCATTTATTTATTTTAGAGAGAGAGAGAGAGAAAGAGACCTTGGGCACAAGTGAGGGAAGGAAGGTGCAAAAGAGGAGAGAGAGGGACAAGCAGACTCCATGCTGAGTGTGAAGCCCAACACCAGGCTTGATCTCACGACCCTGAGACCATGGCCTGAGCAGAAATCAAGAGTTGGCTTTCTTAATTGACTAAGCCACCCAGGTATCTGTTATTAAAATTTTTTTTAAGGTATGATACTGGCTTTGCAATTTTGCTTAAAAGAGAGTTCTTATCTCTTAGAGATACATACTAAAATATTTACAATTAAATCATAAAATGTCTGATATTTATGTCAAAAGTAATCTATAATACTTGGGTGAAGGTAGTCAAAAGGAACACACTTTCAGTTATAAGATAAATAAGTATGGGGGATGTGATGGGTACATAACACACAGAGTTCATCATACCAGTTTTTCTACTTTTGCATATGTTTATAACTTTGCAAAGTAAAGTTTCAAAAATTACTGCTATTTTATTTCATGATTGCTGAAGCAACAATAATATTAAACATAATATTTGTTGGGGCACCTGGGTGGCTTAGTTGGTTAAGCATCTGCCTTCAGCTCAGGTCATGATCTAAGGGTCCTGGAGTTCAACCCCCAGTCTGGCTTTCTGCTCAATGGGGAGTCTGCTTCCCTCTCCCCCCTGCTCGTACTTTCTCAAATAAACAAAATCTTAAAATAATAATAATGATAAAAATAATAAGATTATTTGTTCCTCATTCTTGTAATTATGCCTTGGAGCGGTTTCCTCAACATGCCTGTAAGCTAAGTAAGAAAGAGGAAGGCAGACACATGCCCATTTTGTAGATGAAAAATCAGGCTCATTAAACGCAAGACCATTTCCCCAGCTCACACAGCTAAGCAGTAACATAGCTAAGGCTGAAGTACAAATCTCTGGACTTTGAATCGAGTGGTGCTTCCTGAACATTATCATTGTGTATAGGCTTAATGACAGTCTTTCTTCACGGCTTGTTTTGATAGAGAAAAAAAAATAGGGCTCCAGTATTCAGAAATTTGAATCATAAAAATACTCAAAGAGGGATCCCTGGGTGGCGCAGCGGTTTGGCGCCTGCCTTTGGCCCAGGGCGCGATCCTGGAGACCCGGGATCGAATCCCACATCAGGCTCCCGATGCATGGAGCCTGCTTCTCCCTCTGCCTGTGTCTCTGCCTCTTTCTCTCTGTGACTATCATAAATAAATAAATAAAAATTTAAAAAAAGAAATTAAAAAAAATACTCAAAGAGCATTTTATGAAACGAGCCAGTTGAGACCTGTCCATATTTGTTATTTTTTTGACCTGTCCAGTGAAGGCCCATTCTTAGTACAGAGAGCATTTCCTTGGCTCCCTGGTTTATTGTGGCCAAACAAGAAACAGAAAAAGTAGGATCAGACCTGCCAGCCACAAAGGAAACCATAAGTCTAGGTGGCACACCTCAAATTGTTTCTCCAACATTTACTGACTTCTTGACTCTGTGCTAGGCACTGTGCTAAGCCCATGTGTGTTATCACATGTTTATCTTCACAACGAGTTTGTGGACAAGGAACTATAATTTGCCCCTCTTTATGGGTGAAAGGTGGATAAGGTGGCTACCACTAAGGGACACAGAGGTTGGGAGAGATCACATAACTTCCCTGAGGCTGTGCAGAGGCCATCAGATGCAAGTGCAAAACCCACGTGTCACATTTTCCTGGACTGATCCTGTAAGGTTTCATTACACTATCCTAGGGATTCTCAAAGTGTGTGCCAGAGATTCCTGGCATGAAAATATTTTCATAATATGACTACCTTGTTATTGCCATTTTCACTCATCCCCTCACAAGCAAACAGATATTTCCAGAGGCTCCATGACAGGAGACACCATCATTGCTCTGAGAGCTGATACAATGTGTGCTTGGGTAGTCTTATGTTTTATGAATGTCTCAACCTTCATTTCTAATATTAGTAGACATAACACACATAAGCAAATGCTCTTTGGGGTCTTCCATAGTTTTTTAGAGGACAAAAGGATTCTAAAACCAAAAAGTTTAAGAACTGCTGCACTTCACTAATTATAAGGTGAATAATAAAATATTTGCCAATGCTGTTTTACATGTTTAAATGAAAAAGGTAGTAAAACTCCCCCTTTTTTTCCCAGGAAAAGCTGAAATAAACATCATTGTAAGGGGAAAAAAATATCTTGGAAAAAAGAAAAATCCAGAAATTAATTGGTTAGGCCTGGATGGCAAGTGAAATCAGCGGGGGAATGGGCAAAGTAAATTTGGGCCATGGAGGCAGAAGTTTACAAGGCTGGTGATGGGGCTTAAGAGGGGGCAAGGCCCAATGGAGCAGGCAGGGACCAGCCTCAGGGTCAGCTAAGGCAAGATGGCAGGCATCCAGCCAGAGGAGCGCTCTCCCCTCCAGGGCTGGGGGAGCTCCCCAATGATCTACATTGGGTACTTGGAAATTACCTAGGATTTTCATAATAAACTTCTTGCTGATAAATGGAAATACTTATTTTAAAAAGAAAAGTGGTCAGCTAATATGAAGTTTACTTTAAAAAATAAAGGAAGCACTGTGGATTAAAATCCTGAATTCTATGGAACAGGGGTCATCATTTTAAAAAGTAACCAAGTACAACAGCCAAGATTTGGAAGCAACCTAGTGCCATTGACAGATGAATAAAGAAGCTGCAGTATATACATATGTGTACACACACACACACACCACACTCACACGCAATGGAATACAAGTTGGCTATAAAAAAAGAATGAAATCTTGCCATTTGTGACAACATGGATAGAGCTAGAGGGTATTGTGCTAAGTGAAATAAATCAAACAGAGAAAGACAAATACCATATGATTTCACTTACATGTAGGATCTAAAAAAGAAAGCAAATGAAGAAATAAAATAAAATAGAAACAGACTCACAGATACAGAGAACAATCTGGTGCCAGAGAGCAAAATGTAAGGGAATGGCAAAACAAGGAAAGGAGATTCAAAGGTGCAAACTACCAGTTATTAAGTATATAAAACTTGGGGATGTGGGAAGCCTGGGTGGCTCAGTGGTTGAGCATTTGCCTTCGGCTCAGGTCATGATCCTGGGGTCCTGGGATTGAGTCCCACAATGGATTCCCCACAGGGAGCCTACTTCTCCCGCTGCCTATGTCTCTGCCTCTCTCTCTCTGTGTGTATCCCTCGTGAATAAATAAATAAAATCTTTAAAAAACAAAACAAAACTTGGGGATGCAGTGTACAGTACAGGGAATATAGTTAATAATATTGTAACAACTTTATATGGTGGCAGATAGTTGTTAGATTTGTTGTTGTGATCACTTTGGAATGTATATAAATGTCAAATCACTATGTTGTACAGCTGAAACTAATCTAATATTGTATGTCAACTGTATTTCAATTTTAAAAAAGGAAGTAACCGCGAAAAAAATGCAGTAAACTTAAGGTGTTTCTCCTTACACCATAGAGGAGTTTCTGCTTGTTGGAGAGTAATATGTAGAAGCTCAGTATTGGGAAATAAGTTTGCTGAAATTTCCCAAATGCCTGGGGATAGGTATCTTACTAGGATTCCCAAGGCACATCTCATTGCTGGAGAAAAAAGTGCAGTCCCTATACAATTAAATAACTTGGCGTTTTGCTTTAGTCTGTAATAACTTAATGGTGTTCTGACTTTGAGGAAATTTGTGATATCTCTAAAGAAGAAGGTAAAGCTGACATTTTATTTGTTGGCCTCCTCCTATTTCCTGAATACACTGTATGATTTCCTGCTTTGTGTCTTTGCCTTACTTGAAACATGCTATTCTAAAATCCTGATTTATTTTCTCATGGAAATCCCAACCCATTCCCCAAGGTCCATGTTCCCACTACCACCTCTAGGTCTGACTTCCTCTAAAAAGCCTTTCTCTAACGTACCCAGTCCTACTGATGCTATCTCCTCTGAATGCTCACAATGCATCGATACATGACTATGGACTACAGATGTGCAGCCTCATGTGTCATTGGGTGGAATCACTGGATGGATGTTGTGGTTTCCAGTCTTGTCTCCCTGATTAGCTGTTTGAGGGTAGCGACCAGGCCTTCCACTTTTACTTCCTTCTTAAAATCTAGAACTCTACCCAATGTAGGATAGTGCCATGTACAGAGAAGATAGTTAACATAACCTCCTGCATTGCTTGACTGATTGATGGTTGGCAACTTGAAGTTCCCTTCCCTGGCCTGAATTCTGAAGCTGACTGTCAGTGGACTCACTGGCAGCCAGATTCTCAAATGGTAGGCCTTGTTGACCCAAACAGTTAATTGATGTAGGGGATTTCTGCTTGCTAAGAGGTAAGGATTAGGTGTCAAGGGTCAGTACCATAGAGCAGAAAGAAAAACAGAAAAAGAGTCAGGGGACATGAATCCAACAGCTCTGCCAACAGCTAGGTGACCTTGAACAAGTTCCTTTAAGAAGACTGACCTGTAGTTTCTCATTTCATTCTTTTCCCTTCAGTTTCACTGAGATTTAATCGACATGTAGCGCTGTGTAAGTTGAATAGTTTTTCATTTCTTACACAGGGCTAGCTCTGCCTTCCTTGACTATCTCACAGCACTGGTAGGAGGATCAAACATTATTTATAAGCTGTAAGGCACTATAATGTATAAGAAATTACCAGAGACTTTCATGGGAGCATGATCCAGCTCAAAAGTAGAGAATTAGTCTCTGCCTGGGGACTTTACTTAAGATAAGAATCATTTGCTAGAAAAAAATAAATAATGATAGAAGGAAAACAGGAGAATGTATTATGAGACCAGTGCCACTTTATAGTGTTTTGTGGTGACGGTTTAAAGAGATTCACTCATGCCAAGCTGACATTAGTGACAACAATATTAACCAATCTCTCAAGAGCTAAAACTCAGAAAGAAGCCAATTAGAAAACAAACCAAGCCATTCATGCTGAGCTTCTAATGGAAGCCTGTGATGAGAAATGATTGTTTCAAGATACCTTGAAGACTTGGGTCTGTGCCCTAAACATCATGAGCATCACAGGATCCCAGTACTCACGAATGTACAGGTAAACTGAAGGAAGCCATTAAAGCTAAGCCTCATACTCTATTTATTTGAGAGTCCTATATCAGCTCTATTCACTTCAAAACAAAAAATATCTGGTGAAAGTCACCAGGCAATGTGAGGACCGTAAGAAACAGGCAGAAAGAAGGGATGCTATTGGTGTGTATGATGTGGCATCAAACACAACCCAATGAGCGGGCACTTGTCTGGATGTAAAGGAGAAAAAAAGTAAGAGTGATGACCTAATCCACCTTTTTCACACAAGTATCAGTTTCTGCCACCCAGGAGTGACCCAAAGTACAACAAAATTCTACAGGAGGGGGAAAAAAACCCCACAGAGCTCAAACGAAACCAAAATTAAGTGCAATGCAGCCTCACTGCCCTCAGAGTGTATTCAAAGTAGCCAGCTCTGGCAAAAATCCTGCTTGCTGCCCTAGCAGGTACTGACACCCCTGCTAAGTCAAACCAACCAGGAAACCCAGAGGAACCGGCGGTGTAGTCCACAGGCAAGGGATGGGGAGTGGAAGGAGGACTGAGTCAAGAGGGACAAAACAGACACCTTCTTATTCTCTGCTCTTCTAATGTGAGATAATAATTGGAATGTGATTTGAAACAGTTGATCAAGTCTTATGATTTAGGGCCAACCTCTACGCTCAAAAAATAAACACCAGTTAAGACAGTTTTATTTTTTTCCTGGACTTCAAGATAAGTACATGAGATCTCCTATTCATCTTAGAGAGTTCATACTTTGCCTCATTTCATATGAAGGAAACTGAAGTAGAGAAAGTAGATGGGTGACTAGCCTAAAAGTGACAAAGCTGGGTTCCAACCCTTCTTTGGCTCCACTTTCAGGGTTCTTTCTGAGATGACCATTGTGCTCCATATAAAACTGCAGCATTTCAAAAGTTCTTACTGTCCTTCTTACCAAGCTTCCTGGAATTTCTTCATCCTGCAAGGCTTCTCTTGATTCCGTCGACTCCGGAACCATCGTTCTACCTGGCGCTCTGTCAAGTTACACTTCTTTGCCAGTCCATAAATATCAGTCTGAAAAGGGATAAAATGAATGAATGGGTGATAAAGAGCAGTCAGGTTGGCAGGTAGTCAAGAAAATGTGATTGGGTTATAAGAGCTTGTGCATTGGAGAGGAGAGACATTCTATGTTAGAGCTTGAGCCAGGGAATTTACCTCTTTTGCTTATGTAATCACACACATAGACATATACACACCAAAAAAAAATTCCCAGTAATTCTAAGTTGCTAAGAAATATCAATACTCCATAATTTGGCAGCAACCCATACACTCGAGCTGCAGACGTGAGCTCACTCATTCAGCGAAGTTTTATCTAGGCTTCCTAGGTGCCAGGTAGAGGAGTACAGTTGAAGATGTTGATCAGATCCAACTTCCTCATTTTTCCTATGAGGAAACTGGAACACCAAGAGTTTTAGTAAGTTGTCCAAGACCTAAAATTAATAAAGTGAAGACAAGAACTTAGGCTAGTGCACTTTCTGTTCTTTCACACAATCTTTGTGATGGCTCCAAAAGATAAGACAGGAAAAACTCAAACAGGTGTTGGCCATCCCTTTCACATATCATCAGATGTAGAGCTTATTTCAAACTAATCCAAAATAATTCTAATCATAAAAACATAAAGATAATAGAATATACTAATGGTGATTGCTTCTCTTTGGGAAGCAGAGCTCATTTTTAAATTTGGAAATAATATGGATTAGCTCAAAGGTCATAAATTCTGGAAGTTCTCATAGGGCCAGACTGAAAAACACACATGATTGAGTGGATCAGGTCTGGTTCACAGTGGGATTTTAAGTCATATTCTTTTGCACTGGCAGGTTTTATATGCTAAACCTGCAGTGTTTTCAACTGACACAAAGAAATAAGCTCTGTAATTTTTTGGAAATACCTGCCCTCTTGGTCTTTCATTTTCCAACACAAGTTCAAGACATACTTTCATTTCCTCTTTACTAGAAAAATACAGTTGCATCAAACTGACCTTCAGTTTCAGTGTTGAGGAGACCAGCAGAAAACAGCAAAGCACCTGCCCTACTCCAAAGGTATAGCTAGCTGTGAGCCAGCTCTAGCTGATGGCTCCCAGACTGAAAGTGTACATCGAGAATTTTGACGTGAAATCACTAGCATTTTTAAATGCTTACTAATGCTTCAAAATAAATTTAAACCAATCATGGACCAACATACCAAGGGCTGAACAAAGCCTGCCTGATGGCTGGACACCCAAAGCCTGGGAGCAGTCATCCAGTTTCTATTGTGTTATTGTGTATAGTTCAGGCACACATAATTGTTCAGGTGCACAAGGCTGACAGTAGATAAAATCCATAAAGAAGATCTCACACTCATGAGTGGACAAGGACTAATTGCAGTTTCTATATACCTACTAAATTGCTACCTGTTACTTGATCTGCAAGAAGGAAAGCAAAACAAAACAAAAACAGGATATAGCCAATATTATACTTTGTTTCCCTGTAAACTGCCCTAATACCTATGCTTTTACAGGCCAAGCGTTTTCCTGCTGTTGTTTTGTTTCTGTGCTCTTCTGGAGACTGAACTGGCAATCATTTATTGGTGCCTACTTCTTGCAAGCATTGTGCTTAGTTATTGAGGATCTAAATGAATAACACTGATATGGGCTGCCCCTTCACAGGGTGAAGTGTGTCTGGTGAGGAAGTAAGAAAATAAAACAAAGAATTCTAATAAGACACTATGAATGCTAAGAGAGGGTAAGATTAGGATACCATGGGACCTAATTCTGTGTAGGCACCTCCTGGAAGTAACATGTGTGCTGGACCCTGAAAAAAACACCTTGAGAAGGAGGGGATAGAGAAGGGAAGCATCCTGGCAGAGGGACTGGCGCGTGAGGTCATCTGGAGATGAGAGCATGGGTGAGCAAGGAACGGCAGAGGAACAGAAGTCTAGCAGGGTAGAAACATATGAAGAGGAGGGGAGGAAAGTTATGGCTAGGCTCACATCAAGGGGGGGGCTCTGTCTGGGATTTATCTTGGGGGTGACAGGGCATTTGCACTGTTAAAATCCCCTCCCAGCAGTATGCACAGAATGGAGGAGCAGTAGTACGTCTGGAGGTGAACACAGTATTCACTTTGCCCTTGCGTCCAAGCTCTGTATTCCCACAGCGAGGACCTTGTACTAGACAACTCTGGAGGTCTGGATTCACTAATCCACACAGCTCATCATACTCCCTTGTGGGAAGTAATTCAATTTTATTATTCCATCACTTCTATAGATATCTGCTTAATACTTGTGTCTAGGAATAGCACTCGAACATGATTTGAAGCAATTTATTTTCTGTTTTGGAGCACAGATGAATCTGGTTGAAAGTCAGTCTTGACAATACTGGCTACATACACTACAATATCCTTGAGACAGAAATCCTCGTGCAAACTCAAGTTTCTGGAAATAATTTCTTCTTGATACATAAAACAAGCATTTATTGAACACCTAAAATGCACATAAAATTGTGCAAGATGTTATATTAGTACTACTTTAACTGTCACATGGCTCTTTTCTCTATAGAGCAGGGAAACTTGATAAAGAACAAATTTTCTAATTTTAAATTTCCTAAAAAGCTGACTTTTTGCTGAAGCTTTTGCTATAGCAAACATATCAAGTAATTGATAGCATAGCACTATTCTTTATGTTTTATACAAGGAATTATCCATCTGAGTTATTCTCAGGAAGAGAGAAAAATAATAAGGACTCCCTGAAAGAGCCCAAATTTTTCACAAGCATAGCTAAATAGTTGCCCTTTTGAAAGATGTGAAATGATGCTTGGGCATTATTATCACCAGTGGTAGCAGTAGTACTGAAATGAACAACGGCAGTCAGAGCACGTGGAAATAAAGAAATGTGAAAATAGCTTGTCAGGCTGTCCTCATTTCAGGAAAAAAGAAGAAGTCCAGTACAGAAGCTAAGGGTAGAGCAAGTTACAGACAGTGCTGGCTAGTTGCAAACAATTCTGGACATGATCCCTCATACTATGTGGTCAGACTTGCATATGCCTCCTTTGGGCAGGGAGCCCACCAGACAAATAATAGAAACAGTCCTATCGGGTCGCCTGGGTGGCTCAGTGGTTGAGCGTCTGTCTTCAGCTCAGGGAAGGATCCTGGGGTCCTAGCATTGAGTCCCGCATCAGGCTTCCCACAGGGAGCCTGCTTTTCCCTCTGCCTATCTCTGCCTCTTTCTCTTTGTGTCTCTCATCAGTCAATAAATAAAATCTTAAAAAAAAAAACAGTCCTATAAAAAAGGCAACCAAATTCAGCAAATAAAGTTTAGCACCCTTTAAAAAAATCTATCTATCCTAAACTGTGCTAGGATATACTCTTGACTTTTAAAATTATCAGTGATCACAGTCTGTATTCATCATAGGGGGTGTGCCACTTTGGGGTCAGTTTTTATTTCATCTCTCATTTTTAACTGTGGTGGAAATGAAACTGGACCTGCCTCGCTACCTTTTCTACAACTATTAGATTGAGACCTTTTTTGGGTGCACTACAACATTTCATGAACTGCATCTTGTATTGTGAAAAAAATTCTGACTTTCCTGGGGAGTGAGCAGGAGCGCGGCACATTTCTAAATGTGTGGAGGCTCTGGATTTAAAAAAGTGTCCTACTGGGATCCCTGGGTGACGCAGCGGTTTGGCGCCTGCCTTTGGCCCAGGGCGCGATCCTGGAGACCCGGGATCGAATCCCATGTCCGGCTCCCGGTGCATGGAGCCTGCTTCTCCCTCTGCCTGTGTCTCTGCCTCTCTCTCTCTCTCTCTCTCTCTGTGTGACTATCATAAATAATTTTTTTAAAAAAGTGTCCTACTCATGACAGACACTCCAATGAACACTTTCTTAATGTGTGTAATATATATCAATGGTGCCACAATCATCAGAAGTGTCAGATAATGGGCTACTCTGCCTTAACAGTGGTCTTTTGTGATTAGGATACTTTGTATATACACTATTATCCAAAAATTTAATTTTGATCTTTATACCCAAATTATGGCATTGATTATTAGTGTTAAATACTCTAGTTAAACACAATAGTTCAACTGTGAATACTGGTTATCTTATAATATTTCTGTGTCATTTTATACTATGCTTGGAATGCTGTCAATAGAGGGAAAAACCTGTCAATAGAGGGAAAAAAAATCCAAATGAGTCAAATCATTTGATGCTCAACTAGAACAGATATCTTGTACAGATGAGGTAACGCACTGGTGACTGGAACATTAAGAAAGGAGGTTTTTTTTTTTTTATTTTTAAAATCCGAAACCAAAGAACTTGCACTTACGTGAGATGGTTGTCTTGTGGAATGTTTGAAAAAAGTCTCTAAGACAGTATTTGGTGTAATCTTCTTTCGAATTTCCTCTTTAATGCCAAATGTTTTTGCTAGAGGCGTAGCAATAAATCTACAAAATATGAAAGAAAGTCCAAAATCTAAGAATGAACCCACAATGACAACAGAAAACTCAAGCCATAATTTTAGATTCCAAATGAAGAATCAGCCACAGGGTCATATTGTCCTTGGGCAACCTACAGCCAAGTCTGCCTTGCAAAGAAGTTCAAGAAGAGCAAATTTTGAGACCCTTTAGGCAAGAAATAACTTAAAAAAAATAAAATACTTGCACCATTCTAAAATCCACTTTAGGTAAATCCAAATACATTTATATTTGAGATTCAGGAATTGGAATAAACCATTCCAACTAGAGTTTTATTTTAAGTCTCCTACAGATTAAAATGAATAATAATTTTGTTATTAAAAGTTTTACTTTGTGATATTATCTTAAAGAATTACTACTATATTCCTATTTGAAATTCTAACTTATTGAAAAAAATGTCATGACTCTTGGATAAATGTCTAGGAGTGGGATTGATGGGTGGTTTGACAAGTACATATTTAACTTTATAAGAAACTGGCAAACTGTTTTCCAGGTGGTAGCAGCACTTTGCACTCCTGTCAGTAATGTGCCAGAGTTCCAGTTGCTTCATATCCCCCACCGACACTTGGTATTACCAGTCCTTTTAATCTCAGCAATTCCCCTGGTTGCATGGGTTTTCATCGATTTTTCACTCTAATCTTTATTCTTTCCAAACTTCTACTTGCTATAAGTTTAGTTTGCTCTTTTTTCTAGTTTCTTCAGGTAGAGATTTATTGATTTGAGGTCCTTCTTTTTTAATATAGGTTTTTGCATCTATAAATTTCCTTCTGAGCACTATTTTGCTGCATCTTATAAGTTTTGATATTGTGCTTTCTTCATGATTCATCTCAAAGTATTTTCTAATTTATCATGATTCCTCCTCTAACCCATTGGTTATTTAGAAGTATGCTGTTCAATTGCCACATATCTGCTAATTTCCCAATTTCCATCTGTTACTGACTTCTAATTTCATTTCATTATGATTGGAAAACACACTTGGTGTGATTTCCATTTCTTTATGCTCATTGAGACTTGTTTTACAGCCTAACATATGGTCTATCCTGGAGAATGTTCCTGTGCATATGGGAAGAATGTGTCTTCTGTTGTTATTCGGTGCCATGTTCTACAGATGTCTGTTAGGTCTACTTGGTTTACAGTGCTGATCAAGTCTTCTATTTCCTTATTAATCTCCCTCCTAACTCTATCCATTATTAAAAGTGAGATATTCACATCTGCAACTATTTGTTGTCTATTTCTCTCTTCAGTTCTATTAGCTTTTGCTTCATCCATTTCGGAGCTTTGTTGTTAGGTACATATATGCTTAGAATTATTAAATCATCTCAATATATTTATCCTTTTATTATTATAAAATTTTCTCATCTCCAGTAACAGTTTAAAAGTTTATGAAAGTCTAAATTGTCTGATATTAGTATAGCCACTCCAGGCTCTCTGTTGGTTACTGTTTGCATGGTACATAATTTTCTGTACTTTTACTTTCAACGTATTTATGTCCTTGAACCTCAAGTGTATTTCATATAGAAAGCATATAGTTGAAAAAAAAAGAAAGCATATAGTTCGATCATGTATTTCTTTAATATATATATATATATAATTTATTTATTTAAGAGAGAGAGAGAGCATGGGAAGGAGCAGAGGGAGAGGGACAAGAAGACTCTGCTAAGCATGGAGCCTGACATGGGGCTTGATCTCACAACCCTGAGATCTTGGTCTGAGCCAAAGTCAAGAGTCAGATGCTTAACTGACTAAGCCACCCTGGCACCCCAGATCATATATTTCTATCCATGTCTCCTGTCTATGCTTTTTAGTTGGAGTATTTAATCTACTTACATTAATGCAAATTAGATTTAATTACTGATAAAACAGGATTTATGTTTGGGATTTTGTTATTTGTTTTCTATATATCTTGTCACTGTTATTTCTCTATTCTTCCTTAAGTTATACTTTTTGTGTTCAATGGGTTTTTTCTAGTGTATTTTTAAAATTCCCTTTCTTAAAGTATTCTTCTTTTATTTTTTTAAATATTTATTTATTTATTATAGAGAGACAGAGAGTGCAAGTGGGAGGAGGGGCAGATGGAGAGGAAGAAAGAGAATCTCAAGCAGATTTCCCACTGAGTGTGGAGCCTGACTCGAGGCTTGATCTCACGACTCTTGAGATCATTACCTGAGTCAAAATCAAGAGTTGGATGCTCAACTGACTGAGCCACTAAGGCACCCCAAAATATTCTTTTAAAATTATTTTCTTAGTGGTTAATCTGGGGATTACAATTAACATCTTCATTTATAACATTCTAGTTCAGATTAATACCAAAATAATTTCAGCAATATACAAAAACTTCATTATGTCCCCTTTCTGTGCTGTTATTATCATACAAATCATATATTTATAAATTGCGTTCTCATCAACACAAGATTTATGATAACTGTTTGATGTAGTTGTCTTTTAAATCAGATAGGAAAAAATGTGTTACAGACAAAAACTACATGTATACTTTCTTTGTATTTCTTTTGTAGGTGACTTGTAGTGCTTTTTATTTCTTCATACACATTCAAGTTACTGTGTTATGTCCTCTAATTTCAGTCTGAAGGATTTCCTTTGATATATCTTGTAGGGTGGCTCTAGAGGCAAGAAATTCTTTTTTCTTTAAAGATTTTATTTATTTATTCATGAGAGACAGAGAAAGACAGAGGCACAGGTAGAGGGAGAAGTAGACTCCCTATGGGGAGCCCAAGGCAGGACTCAATCCCAGGACTCTGGGATCACAACCTGAGCTGAAGGCAGATGCTCAACCTCTGAGCCACCCAGGTATCCTGGAGGCAACAAATTCTTCCAGTTTTTGTTTATCAGGAAATGTCTTAATTTCTCTTTCATTTTGAAAGATAGTTTTACTCAGTTGACAGTTTTTTTTCTTTCAGAACTTTTTTATGTCTTCCCATTGTCTTTGGCCTCTATGGTTGCTGATAAGAAATCAACTCTTGTATGTGATAGATGCTCCTCTTTAGCTTTTAAGATTTATTGTCTCTGTCCTTGGATGGTTTGTTTGTGATGCATCTAGGTATGGATCTCTAAATTTACCCTACTTAGAATTTGTTCAGCTTCTTGCATGTGTAGATTAATGTTCATCATCAAATTTGGGGACTTTTTAAGCCATGTATTTCTTCAAATATTTTCTGTCCTATCCATTTTCTCCCCTTCTGGAACTCCCATTATGCACATGTTGTTATGCTTCATGCTATCCCACAGAGATGTCTCAGGCTCTTCATTTTCTTTCATTCTTTTTTTTCCCCCTCTTCATCAGATGGCTCTTCATCAGATTTCCCCTCTTTTACTTGCTCAAATATGCTGTTGGGCTCCTCTAGTGAATTTTTCACGAGTTATTACACTTTTCAACTCCAAAATTTCTCTTTGGTTTCTTTTATAATTTCTAATTACTATCTCCTTATTAATAGTCTTTTTTTTTATTTTTTTTTCCTTATTAATAGTCTTGATTTGGTGAGATATTGTTCCATTCTTTCCTTTAGTTCTTAAGCATATTTTTCTCTAGTTCTTCGAACACATTGAAAATAGATGATTTAAAGTCTTTACCTACGGGACCCTGGGTGGCTCAGTCAGTTAAGTGTCTGACTCTTGATTTTGGCTTGGGTCATGATCTCAGGCTTGAGAGATAGCGCCCCACATGGATCCTGCTTGTGATTATCTCTTTTCCCTCTCCCTCTGCCTCTCCCCTGTTCACACATACTCTCTCCCTAAAAATAATAATAATAATAATAATAATAATAATAATAAATTAAAAAATAATAAAGTCTTTGTCTACTAAGTCCAACATCTAGGTTTCGTAAGGGACATTTTCCTTAAAGAAAAGGAACTACTTTTTCCTTGTATGGACCATACTTTATTATTTCTTTACCTGCTTTATAATTCTGTTGAAAATTAGACATGTTAAATAATATAATGTGGCAACTCTGGAAGTCAGATTATCCCTCTCAGAGTTTGTTGGTTTTGTAGTTTATCATTGTCCATTTGTTTGTTTCATCCTTTATTTGAACTCATCTATGAGGTCTGTATTCTTTGTTATGTTTGGGCACTGGAGTCTCTATTGGATTAGCTTAAGTGTCACCTAATGACTAGACAGACATTTACTTATTTGCCTGAATAACTTTCAACACTCAGCTTCAACACTCAGCTAGGCAGTTGTCAAGTTTGCCTTAGACTTCACTTCCTCTTTTCACAGATCCTTAAGATCATCCAGAAATGAGAGCTAAGGGCTTTCTCAGATCTTTTCTGGGCACATGGAGAGCCCTGGGTATACCCAAAGCTCTGCAAATTCAAGTGTTCTTCTTATTTCCAAGAATATGTCAGAGCTTTTCAAAGCCCACTCTGACATCTCATTTTCAGTTTTTCAGTTTAAGTGGTTTGGTTGGTCTATTGCTTGCCCCAATAGTTACCTACAACCTCAGGCAAGTCCAAAGTTAATCAATTGCCTCTACTTGTTTTAGATAAGCATCTTTAGGGAAAATATTTTTCTGACTCAGGTCAAATAAAGACAGTCTTTTAAGTATTGGTTTCCACAGGGAGGTCAGATAATGACATTTCTCTGATAGTGATATTCTATTCTGCTCCCTTCAGTGGCTGCCAGGATACTAGTTTTCACTGAAACTGTAGGTGGTTGGGTTTTCAAGGCTCTCTGAGAGCTTTATAGAGCAAAATAGGGAGCGGGCAAGTTAAAATGCCACAAAGCTTGCTGCTGTTCTCTTCAGGAGTCAGCTGTTTTTCTTAAATAACAGACCCTGGATTGCTAACCTTTGGTTAATTCTGAAAAGTTGATTTTGACAGTTTTTGCTAGTTTTCTGATTGCTTTTAGGAGAGAGAATTTTTGGAGGCCCTTATTCTGACATTTTTGTTAATTTCTAGGGTGTAGTTATTTTAATTTGCATTTTGCTAATGACTAATGACGTTGGACACCTTTTCAC